CAGACGAATACTTAGAGTTCCAGTGGGCCAGACCTCCCTTGTTTGATGACATCCTGCTGTAGAGGTCTCCTTCTTCTGGCCACAACTGCACAGTACATCCCCACTGACTTGAGGCTCATCTCCCATAGAAGTCAATGAGGAAAGTACGCAGGCAAGACCTAGAGGAGGACATCCCCCCCAAGATGTCAACAGAGGCAGCGCCTAACTGAACTTAGTAAGTGTTCACCTGTGCAAAGGGAGCATTGATGTCACCTTAAAGCTGGGTAAAGCATAAGCACACTTCTAGTTTAAAAGCTGGCTAACAATAAACATAACATACCAGTCTGAAGAAGTGTGCAATTCTGAATTGAACATTTGTCTAAGGCCTTGTACATATGGGCTTCCCTGTTTTTAAGAGTAATGCACACAGCAAGCTTTTACAAAGCATGGTAAAAACTGCAATGAACATCAAGCAGCTTTGTTGAAAGTTTTAAAAAGCACCCTTCATCTTCATTCACACCTACATAGTAGGTCTGTTTTGGGATTCCTGTGGCAAGAACCTATGAATTCCTGCCTGAGGAATCACAAATATGCCATTTAGACATGGCAGCTGTCACCCACTCAAGTTAATAAGGTGACAGCAGCCGCATTTGAAAGCAGAAGTCAGCTGGCACTTTGCATGTAATGGTATGTGATACTATTACATGGGGTTAGGAACAGATCGCGATCCCTTGACACACAATCCAGGACAGCGATACCTTCCCAACAGCATGTAATCGTATGTGTGCCAGCACACTGCTGTTTTCAGATGCAGCCACCGTCATCCAAATCAACTTGAACAGGCGCCGCTTCCGAACAGCATATTTGCTTCCTGTAGCCAGTGTGGGTCATATAACATGGTTTAATATATCTGCCTCACTGTGACCCATGGATAAAATTTGGGAGAGTTGTTTGGGGTATTTTTATGTAGAAAGAAGTTTCCGTAAGGAAAAAAAAAAGAAGTGTGAAATGCTGCCAGGCTCTCGTTTCTGTGCAAAGATTTGTCTACCCCTTTCAATCCTGGTGAATCCTAGTGAATTACTTTCAAGTGTTCCAATTGGGAGATTTGTGCTCTACCTGCTGCTCTGGTGATAACAGTCACTGGTGGGATATGCCCCGCTTCCTGCCCTGGTGACAATTTAGGGTACATCTTCCTAACAGAATGGAAATAAAACCTGGGAAGTGGAACATTAACCCTACCTACATAAACATAGCTTTGCAAATTAAAAATGCTTCAACAAACCAGCATTAATCCCACAATTGTAAAACAGCAAATTCTATTTACAGCCGTCACTCCTTAGAAATAAAGAAGACATCTGCCACGGTTGAAGAGATAATCCTGATACAAAAACTAGGGATGCACCGATACCGATACCGATACAAGCATCGTTATCGACGGCGATACTTCGTACTCGGCCTTAAAAAAAGTGGTATCGGTGCATCCCTAACAAAAACCAATAAACCTTATAGCAATATTCACTGTTGTTCTCAGGTTTTAACAAATTAAAACAAAACACCATGTGCAAAATCACTGTACATTTTATTATTATAGAAACCTACAAAATTACTTAAGAACTTTTATAAATAGTACAAAACAAATAAATCTGTATCAAAAAACAAATACTGTAGGACGGCCTAAATTGGCTTATTCATAACCAGCATTATAAAAGCACCGTCATATGGATTTTGTGTATGTAGCTTATCAGGAGTTATGTAGTGAAACAAATAACTTACAGCTTCAGATCGAAACATCACAGTCTAAATATTACCTTCACTTGAATTCTCTAAGCAGCAGTTCAGTTTATATGAACAACAGTAGTCTATAGAGTAAAACTCAAGATTTTCACATTATGTACAAAAAGTAAACCAGACAGTTAGATTGATGAGAACAATTTCATGATGTTCTCAGCCAAGGAGATGTTCATGAGCTGCTGGAGGAAGATTGAGAATGTTCTAGTGTTAAGGAACAAACATCAAAAGCAGATAAAAGACGCAGATACTACAATCTGTAAAGAAGACATGCTCTTGCTGATCATCGTAACTGGCTGACTGAAGCTTATACCTGATGAATGTGAGAATCTCTCACTACATGGCACGCTATTCTCTGTGCACAGTGGTTACATTACAATATAAACTGAGTACTAATGCGGGGTTTTGAACAATACACATATATAGAAAACACACGTCCTCCAAAAAATAGTTAATCATACATCTATCTATCTATATATATCTATATATATCTATATATAATCTCATATGCGTATAGGCTGTATCCCCCACTGGAAATAGCCACCCTCTCTGTTCGTCCTGTGATCGAGACTTAAGCTGCCCATACACCTATAGATTTTCTGCAGATATTCTATGGTCAGATGGAAAAAGTGCAACAGATTCCTCCATCTACGCTAAATTGTGCGGATGGAGGAATCTTCCACTGGGCTAAGCTTCAGTATCTTACTGGTTGGCCCCGCTGGCTCTCAAAATACCTCAACAATCTGATTGGATGCAGGCATTCTTCAGGTGTTTTGAGAGCCAGCGGGGCTACTGACCACACATATAAGAAGCCTTATTCCTAATGACCGAACAGTAAGGTCCTCCATGTTAAAAAGGTTGGGGGGGGGGGAATCACCTGTTCCTTACAAAAGGTATAATTTGGTAGATACAAGAATAGTTTGTTCCTTTGAACGTTTTGATGAATAAAGTGATGGAGGGTCTCTAACAATCCATCATTATTTCATACATTGTGTGTAATTAAGTAATCACCAACACCAAGTTGTGAATGAAAGAGCAAGTTGAGATCTAAAATGTACTACTGAAAATGAAATTTCAAAAGGATATTAAATTTTCACTGATCAGATAGCTGATCAGTTGCTGTAGTGAGTCAAAGCGAGAAAGAGTTGGAACACAGCCCACCATGATCAGTTTGTGCTTGGCTCGTGTGAGGGCCACATTCAGTCTCCTCCAATCCTTCAGAAGATCACCAAGCTGTACGGATAGAAAACAAACAAATCACATTCCTATTCATAGGTTTCAATGTTCAGGCTGCTTGTAAGGACACAAAATGTCTATAAAGCTCTCTTATAGTTTATTACAACATATGACTTACACCCTGCAGGCAGTAATACAGTCATGTGAAAAAGTAGGTACACCCAATCGAAATTGGTTGCTTTTTCAACCTATTGGAACAGGAAATCAGTATTTTCTTCAAACAGTGGCTACAAATTATGGCGATATCAGAGGCGCAACTAGAAATCACAGGGACCCATAGCAAAATGTTGTACGGGGCCCCGTGATTTATAGTTGTACCCCTTGCAGAGCCCACTCGAGATCCCACCTGAGGGTGACCCTGGTGGGCTCTGCAGGGTCACCCTCAGGTGGGCTGGTCGCACTCCTTACCTGTCCGCCTCCTCTTCGTCCACGGTCCCTGATGGGGCCCCCCTCCTTCACCAGGCCCCGCCCCCTCTCCTGCCGCCTCCTACTCCACTGCCGGGTCCAGCCTGCTCCACCGCCGCTGCTGGCTCTCATTGACTCTGTGGAGAGGAACGCGCTGCTGCACAAATTACTGTCAGTGATCTGAACAGCGGCGTGTTCGCCTTCAGCCACCAGTGAAAGCCACCAGCAGAGGATCCCATAGCGACCCACACGGCATCTGGCCGGGCCCCACATCGGCTGCCTGGGTTGCTATGGTGATTGTTACGCCACTGGGCGATATACGAGTTACAAAAGGTTGACATGCTGTATTCATTTTCATGATCTAAATGAAAATCAAATGCATATTTGTCATATGGAAATATTTACTACCACATAAAATCCCTAAATTGGAAATCAGATGTTCCAGATTAAGTGCCAATGATTAGAACGTTGATGGGGACTAATATTGTTTTAGTTAAGCCTCATATATCCAAGGTCTGGTGTTCTCTTTGCTATTAGGGAATGTGAGGTCATCATACCAAGACCAATAAAACTCTCCAAGGCCCACAGAAAGAAGGCTTTGGATGCCTATGAGTCTGGCAAGGGATTCTAAAAGATTGGCAAATTATCCAATCATTCAGTTGTAAGGAAATCATCTTCAAGGGAGGTATAGGCTTCAAACTACGGCTACGTTATCCAGGACTGGCCAGTCCAGCAACATTAGCAGGCCATTTTGATGCTAAATGAAGTCTCCAAGAACCCGAAATATTCAATGCAGTTGTAGGTGACATTTTCCACATCTGGTGTTAAAACAGCATGAATCTACGGTCAGAAAGTGATTGCACCAATTTTACCTGCATGAGAGGTGTGCTAGGAAAAAGCATGCCCATAAAGAACTTTAGAGCAAGACCACAGTTTGCCTTTGAACACATAGGCTAAGAAAGACTGGGACTTCTGGAATAATTTGATGTCCACTGATGAATCAAGTATGGTGTTTTGCCACACTAACAGTAGACATATTTGGCGCAAACTGAAGACAGCATTTCAGGAAAAGGACCTCATACCAACTGTAGAGCATGGTGGTAAAATGTTTTCGTTTGGGGTCATTTTTCATTGTTTCAGGGCCTGAGGAGCTTACATTCATCAAGTAAACTATGATTGATGTGTGCTTGAAGAGAATGGAAGGTAATCTGTGCGAAAGTTGAAGCTGAACCAGAAATGGATCTTTCAACATAATAATGATCCAAAGCACACCAACAAATCCACCAGGGAATGACTAAAAGAAGAATTATGCTATGGACTGGCCAAGACAAAGCTCTGATTTGAAACCCCTTAAAATGTTGAGGGCGAGTTGGAAACAGACAGTCCATACAAGGAAACCCACAAACATCTTGCAACTGAAGGAATTTTGCAAGGAGTGGTCCAAAATCTTACCAAGTCAATGTAAGACTGGTGTGCAGTCTTGCAATACACCTACATGAAATCATTTTTGTAAAAGTGGGCTGCACTAGCTTCTGAAGCGAAGGGTTAACTTACTTTTCCACAGTACACCACCAATACATTTGATATTTTTGTTGAATACATTATTGAAAAGGCAAACTGACCTCGTGTTTTTAGTCAAGTGCATCACCTTTACCTGTAGGCGTTGTTTAAACAAAGATCTTTTGTTCAAATAGGTTAAAAAAAAAATGTAAACAATTAACATCAGGTGTACTTAGTTTTTTTTTTACATGACTGTACATCAGTAGTCCGCCATATCTCCATTAAAAAGGGTCATAACCAAGAGTTAAAGTTTCAGGTGTTTGTTCTCCGTAGCTGCTGAAAAATTACTTCTGAGAGGACAGACTTTGTTTTAAAATAATGAAATGACAAACGACCAGGTTTAAAAATGCATTCCCGTGGAGCTCTCTGGATCCTAGGCCCAGACTTTAAATGACACCTTAACTTCCCATTCCTCCTGGTGCCAAGTCCTTCTTCTGTCACTAGCATGTCAGAGTCCCTACTGCCAACTAAAGCTCTAGCATTTGACAGTTGAACGACAAAGGATTGGACTAATCTCAGCTTGGACAGAACTAAAAGCCACATGTACAGTGTGGATCTACCTATATCAGTCTGATATGACAACCTGATACCCCTGTAGTTACAGGAATGGTGGTTGCAGTAATCTACCGGCTATATTAATCTGAGTAGTGTCTTTCCTTTGGGGAAGATGGACAAAACGTGTTCCCCCTCTTCAGAGGACATGAGCCCAGACTTAGATTCATTACTATTAAATGATAAAGTTGGTCTTTTTAATGACACCAGCTTAGCACAGCTTAGTTACAAATAAATAAAAAGGTGGACCTGATGATTGATCAGAATAAGGGTGTTGGAACATATTTTTAACAGGCTGCTGATCTGTGGGGCCACTGGAAATGAAAGTACTATGTTCCGTCTAAACAAAGCAAGCAAATCAAGCAGAGTAAAAAGATAGAAGTCCTGATCAACCACTTTGTCTACCATCAGGAGATCAGGGGGAATCAAAATGAAACTTGCCTTTCCATCAACATTGCTTCTGACAAATGAAACGATGATCACACTTTTATCTCTCCCCTGGTACTTGTCTACAGTGTTAACCTCTACAGTGCTGGAGGACAGCTTTGCAAAATATGTAGAAATGACTTTTAACTGCTGACGATAGGGAGCAATAATCCCAACGTCTGATGGTTTACAGCCAGCCTGAAAAAAAAAAAGCAAAATGTTAACAAACCGCAGAAAGGGGATGTTTACTATTGCTGTGTATCCCTTTTGTGATGTCCCCTGACTTTCTGCAAGATGTGATGGGAAATCTCTCTCATTGGGGGAAAACAGACAAAAATCATACATCACACAAGCAGCAGATTTTACGCAAGTGATCCACAGTGGAATGCTTTTCAGAAGCAGTTGAGCAGCATTTTGAAGGCATTCAGGAGGCAACACTGCTGCCTGCTGAACGCTTTTTTCTTATCCCAAGAGGAATTTTGCATTGAAATACCACCCTGCAACTGCCTGCCAAATGGGTGTAGCTGCTGTTGCGGCACGGTCCCATTGACTTCCATTAGTGTGTTTGGCAACCAGCACCGACCTGCCAAGATAAATTTGATGACTATTGAAGCATTGCGGCAACATATACAGACCGGAGTGTCCGTCAAGGTAATTTTTAGGCAGGTTGATCGACCACCTGTTTTCATCGCCTGTGCGAAGTTAACCTTATGGCTGTTCATGCCTCCTAGGACCTACCAACACCCCTAATTTCTTGTTTGAGCATCACAGGGACATGATGTGGGAACAAATTTCCCCAATAGGGTTAAAGACAGAAACCGAACAGAAATCTTGCTGCAGTTGGGCATTAAGTATTTTACACATGAACAATAGATATTTATATAATTGCTCAAAATAACCACAAAAAAACAAGCTGCCTTATTCAGAAGCTATAAAAATGCTTATAAATATATTTGAAAAGATTTTTTGAACTTCTAAAAAAAAAATGCAGTGGATGGACTCCGGAGGAAGGATTTTGGAGTAAAAACTAAAATTTTAATTTTCCCAATCGTCCACTGAGTGAAGAATTCAGAGACGAAGGGACAATCAAAAAGCAGTCCAGTTAGGGTAGGCACCATAACAGAAAAATACAAAATAGTCCACAGAATTAGTAAAAAGGAGGGAACGTCACAGCCCCATGCAGGGAGAAAAAAACATGGTTAGAGTACTCACAACCCCAGACAAAAAAAAAAATATGTCCTGACCTCATAAATGGTAGCTGAAATACCTCACCAGAAACAACACAGGACCATTGCAGGAAGGATCCACAGTGCAGTGACTAGGAAGGCCTACGCTCTTTAAATTAAGAGATGACCAAGGGAACTCTGGGCCACCAAAGGATGAATAATCAGTACAGAGACTAGAAACGACCCGCTACCTGAACCTAGAAAAACTTCCAGGATTTACCTTATCCATTATGAATCTATGTTTTGTCAGCTAGCTAGAGAAACTTCCAGAATATTACGTAGCATGAATCAACTAGCAGCTCTTGATAGTAGAATATAACCAAAGAAACAAACCAAAATAAAAAAAAAAGTAGAAAAAAGGAGACATCTATTCTGAGAACGCTTAGCAAAACTGGTAGGTGAGAGAAGTTATGATCCTAGTGTCCATTTCTCCTGAAGGCAGCAGCATAACCCTACGTCTCAGAATTATTCAGAGCTGTGTCCTTCAACAGACGATGGAAAAATACTGTACTTGATATTGTCCAAACAGAGCGAGCATCTTCTAAGATTAGCCCAGATTGCAGAGCTATGTACTGTATAGGTATAGTGCCCACAGCTTGAACAGATTAGCACAGAAACCAACTAGCATTAAAAAAACTGCCGCCATCATTGTGACATGGAATATAGACAAGGACAGCCTCTTGTTAACTGTAAACCAACTGTATGTAATCATCATCAACATGGTCACCAGGATTAAACATACCTTCCCAAAAAGAAATGCCAGATAGGCTACCAGCTTAGCTTCAACCAAGTTACTGACACCACATTTCTCTGCTGTCTCCGGAGCTGGGATCTAGAAAACAGAATACGACCACGCATATAATTCTTAAACATGACAAAAAGGTGTTTAGTTTTTAACTTTCCTCTTTTTCCCCCACACATACAGAGTGGAAACTTAAGAGTTAGCCTGTGACCATGGTACTAGCTGAAACTAGATGCAAAATTCCATAGATGTCACCATGATCTACTTCTCAGGAAACAGAGTACTTGTTTAGCCCATAAAAGGCTATCCCCATTGTTTGAGAAAGCCATGAACACTTACAAGTACATTAAACAATGCACCAAATGATTTCCGTTTTTAATAATCTAGCAATGTAAAAACATTCTAACCATCTTCTGTCACAATTAATGAAAAGAGCTTCTGATACATACTTAACTTTGTAGAAATAGCCATTTCAGGCTCCTGCTGATGCCTGTCAATAACCAAAAGGTAAGAACACTGGTCCGATGATTTTAGAGGAAGGTACTTTGTAAACAACAGCCAATCAGCATGACTGTCTGAACTGTGATTAATTCCCTTAGGAGAGATAACGTAACCAGGGATCCACCCTTTAGTCATGCAACAAAGCTGACAGGCACAACAGAATTGGGGTATGATCGCTTTAATACATCCAAAAGCCCTGCTGACATTTCTAGAAAATTGGTTTTGAGAGAAATATGCAGGCGGCTACTTCTGACAATTCAGAAATACTTGTTGCCTGACAGTTAATTGTTTCGCTTTAAGGCTTTGAAACAATGAATTACAATAAACAGGCATAAACTCAGATTTTATTTGTTGCATACTAGCTCTGGCCCAAGTACAGCCAGAAGTTCAACATGACAGCCAAGCAGCTAGCAGCCAGCCTTCCCACAACATGGTATCCCTCAACATGTAATCAATCTAACCAAATTAAAGACAAAACACCTCAACATTTCATTGGCTGTTGAAAACTGTAGTACTAGTAGTCTAGTCTTCATTGCTTTGTCTCCCCCTGCTGGACATTAATTTTAGTGAATAGAATATAATACCCAATATTTTGGTAAAATATAAAATATGAGGTTGTGTTGTGTAAGCCGATATCAAACAAGTCAAGCCTAAAGCAGAACTATGAGCTGAGTGCTTTTCACTCACCTCATAGTTCTAGCGACCTGTGACAATGAGACTGTCACAGGTCGGCTCAGTAGAGCGGGAGGTGAGCGAACACATACTGGCGTTCGCTCACCTCTCGATACTGTCACGGCTCTCTGCCGTGACAGGGGTGGGGCTGGATTCCCCCCTCTCCGCTCCGCCAGCGCTGACTGGTGGAACGGACGGGGGAGGGGGCAGGTACAGCTGGCTCTGCCTCTAGACAGGCAGAGCCAGCTGTCAGTCACGCAGCTGGGCGGAACCCGGCAAAATTGTCGGGATCCGCTTCAGCGCCTCAGTATACCGCGAGCAGCAGCTCACGGTATACTGCGGCGTCTCAGTATACTGCGGCGGATCCAGTCATCCAAGTCGTGATCCGCTCCGGGGTCTCAGTATACCGCGAGCTTTAGCTCACGGTATACCGAGCCTAGGGTGACGGGAGGGCGCTAGTTTGTGTCCTCCGTTACCCTAAGGAGAACTATGGGGAAAAGCCTTAACCTTTAAAATTCTGTGCACCTGTGAAATGGCAAAAAACTACAATACCCAAAATTTACCATAGGCGACACTTTAGGAGCTTTTACCATTTATCAGTTTAGTGTGCAGTGATTGATGGCCCTAAAATTATTGCTCACACTCCAACGTACATGGTGATATGTAGCATGTGTGGTGCAATTGTGATTTTCACGCATGTTTGAGTTTGAATGACCTTGTGTGGGCAGGAGACAAAGAAAAAAAAGTTTTAAGCACAGATCGTGCTTCATGCAGCTTTTTTTTATATATAACCCGCCTGAACACTTGTATGCGACAGCAATTGCCGGCTGTAAAAAATTATACCAAGACTACGGCTGCTGCAACTTAGTCTAACTGCTTCAGTACAACGCTGTTTATCTACGTACGGTGGTCCTGAAGCGGTTAAAATATACAAAATAAAAATCTTCCAGCACAACTGTTTGCGTCACACTTTTCTTGCTTCAAGGCTTGGAAGCAAGCAAAGCGCAAAAGGGGAAAAAGTGTCAAGAGGAAGAGTATACCTGTCACATGACGAACAGGTGGGGTTTCCTTATATCTAGGAGTGTTCTCTGCAGCAATATGAAGAACACACCACAGGTTTCACACTGCATTTTATAAAGTGTAAAATTGTCAGACACCGCTCTCTGTTCTACTAGATTTTGGATTTACATTTCACAATTTCTACAAAGCTGGTGGCAAGTGTAAATAAAGCCTACCTCCTCTGTATTCAGGAAGAAGACAGGGTTACTAGGCTCCAGAACATCTTTGATCCATGTACTTTCAGGAGTCTCCCTGAATTCCAGCTCCAGCTTTAAAGACTTGAGTTGAGGTAGTTGGGCTATGGCTGTAGCCACCCGTTCAGAGGCACACTCTAGGCGTCCTTCATATACCAACTTATTGCTCAGGGACATTATTTTGCTGGAAAGAGCACGAGGAGTCATACATTTATTGAAACAAGTCAGTGCATGCCTAAATAAAGCGACAGCATGGTATCATAATCCTTACCTATTCATGCGATACTGCACAGTCAGTTGGACAACTGCATCTTGGTTCCTCTCCAGTCTTTTGAACAAGCTTTCACTCATTCCTAGCTCTCTGTGAAAACAGATGAAGTCTGTGATGGACCCCGGTACTCCAGATGAGTACGCAATGCTATCATTATAGCTAAACAATATGGAAGCTTTGCAACACTGAAAACTGATGACACATGACCTCCAGCCCATACATTAACCAACCAGAGACTAGAAGAAAGCCAATAATCATTGCTCATGTAATGGAATATCATAACATTACCTGGCTTCTGCACTTTGAACAAGAGGAGGAAGTTGCTGATGATCACCCACTAAAACAAATCTGTCAGCGAAGAACAAGGGGCCGAGGCAGATTGGCTGACTGATCTGAGATGCTTCATCCACAATGCAGAAATCAAACCTCCTTCGAGTGAAGATTGGATGGCTGACTCCCATACATGTTGTCCCAACCACAGGCTAAATAATAACAGCAACAATTTTGCTTTTAGAATCTCATTAGTGCTTCCATACATTTCATAGCAGTAGAAAATCTCCAAGTAGACTGTACTGAACAATTACTAGGCTGACTTACAAAAATAACTTACTGACAGACTGCACTTCTATAAACACCATACATACCTTGGAATGCAGCAATATACGAATAAGTGAATAAGCCTGTGGGTGAAACATGTGAGAGGTTGTAGCTGGTTGGGGGTGGGCAGTGCTGGCATTTGTTGCTTTATACACTTTTATTCAGATATACAGGATTTGCTGTGAATTTCAATAAAGTCTGCAGTATTGGAATTCCCTGGATAGTGCGGTCTGTTCGTATACTGCTGCATTCTAAGGTTGAGACACACCTATTAGACCAGCACCTGGGGAGTCATGATGGTGGCTAAGGAATTGGAGCGGTGAGATTTACTTTGGCTCTACACCATACATACCTGGCTGCTATAGAGTTCTTCTAAACCACTTAATGTCTTTATTGACTTGGCTTTGCAGATTTCTTCTTCTCCATACTTCTGAACCTCTGGATGAATCTTTTGTGTTCGCCCCAAGCGCAGAAATCCCACGTGAAATTTTTTCAGCTTCAGCAGAATATTGTCAACCGCAGAGTGTGTGTAACTGGTCAGCAACACACTAAATCCACAGGCATAGAGAATCCTTACCTGAAATAGAATACAATTTTCATTACACCAAAGTGTATTTAGAACTGGAGGTCCCACTAACCAATGGTTAGGCTTCTACAGTACAAGGTAGGGATGTCCCGATACCCATGCTAGCATCGGAATCGGGCCCGATACAGGGCATTTTGACAAGTACTTGTACTTGTCAAAATGCCCCGATGACTAGCGCCGAAGCGTGCACTGTTTTTTTTTTTTACCTTCCATGGTGGCTGGGGTTGGGGTCCTCTGGGCAGGCTGGAGGAGCATCGCATCACTGCTGTGGGCGGAGCTCCAGGTGGTGTCTAATGTAGTTGGCTGGCTACTGCCCAGAGGACTCCTCCCGTAGCTCCGCCCACAGCAGTGACGCAATGCTCCTCCGCTCAGCCTCTCAGCGCCGCCGACGTCATCCTCGCATGAGAAGAAAAAATCATTTTTCTCTATACAGCCGTGTTGAGGGTGTCTTTGTCCAAGCCAAAATGGCCGCCGCCGGCTGGAGACTCAGTCCAGGACAGTTTTTACTCTAGTGTCCAACAAATCGCTTCCATTTACTTACAGTGCAGTCTGTCCTACCCAAAATGGCCACCGCCAGCAAGAGCCCCATTACAGGAAAGTTTGTTCTCTAGTGTCTGGGAAATCTCCTTCATTTACTTGGAGTACATTCTGTCCTACCCAAAATAGGCATCACCTGCCAGAGCCTAGTTAAGTTCAGATTGGCCTCTAGTGTATGGGAGGTAACCTAGGGGATGGTGGGAGAGGACGGCTGTGTATGAGAGGGAGATAATGGAGGAGCTGAATAGATATATTAGAGGAATCAGAAATGATATAATGAGGGGGGGGAATCTGATGAGCCCTCCGAGAAGGAGATTATACAGGATGGAGGGAGGAGAGAACAGAGTGAGGTCTAGCTGCTGATAAGGCAGGCTCCATTGAACAGGCACTAGTAAGGGCCTGTGCTGCTGAGATGGCAAGTGGTGTAGTTTTTGCCACTTTGCCAGTATTGTATTTATAATCTGATTGCAAGTGTACATTTACTTCTTCATATAGAGTATTACAGTAGGTTAAATCATGATCTATAGTATACTACATACATAACATGTAGTTGTACTATGGATCATGATTTAACCTAATCCTGTTAGCAGGGTAATAGGTAATAATTGAAAAACTCTATTGCTGTAGTGTACTCTATATGTAGTGCATGTACAGTACTAGCAGAGTATAATTGTAAATGTATTGTCTGCACTGTATTAGCAGTATATACTCTATATGTACTACAGAGTACATATAGAGTACACACTGCTAATACAGTGCAGACAATACATTTACAATTATACTCTGCTAGCATGAATGGATTAAATGATCTGTATGTAGCCCTGTACTATGGATCATTTAACCCATTCATGTTAACAGAGGATAATTGTAAATGTATTGTTGCAGGCACTCTAAGTACATGTACTATATACTACATATAGAATGCACTGCAACAATAGATTTACAATTCTCCCCTGCTAATATGAATAGGTTAAATCATGTTCCATAGTACATAACATGTAGTTGTACTATGGATCATTTAAAGTCACCTGCCCCGTTAAGAAAAAGTATCGGTAATTGGTATCGGCAAGTACATGAGGGGATGTACTTGTACTTGGGCCTGAAAAAGTGGCATCGGGACATCCCTAGTACAAGGACATTTTTACATTTAATTTTAAAAAAAATACAATTTGACTTCTCTCCTAGATTCCCTCCATGATCATGCAATGCGTATGAGCCGCTCCTAAAACAAGGATTGTTAAAAACACACTTGCACAGCTACAGGTTCACTCCAACAAACATCTAGATATACATTACATAATGAACCCAATGAGATTTGTGTAGTATATCTGTTGGATTTACTCGGAGACGTTTCTACGAGGGGGTATCGGCACCCTCACATTCATCATATGGCTCACAGTTGTGCTGTGCCTAAAGTCTTTGGTATTGTGTTGTTTTATGGAACCCTTTTCTATTTTTAGCCTAAATAAACCTTTATCCTCTATTAAAAAAAAAAAAAAACTACTTTAGCACGGCAATGGAAATAAAATGCAGCACTGGAACTTCTTGCCAACTTAATTAACCAACAGCAATGCTTTCTTCCTCGACTAAAGGGAAAGCATATTTTTTGTGAACACAAAGAATAATAGTACTGTTCACCTTAATGTTTAAAGGTGATGTTAACATTTATGAATATTTGCTTTTATAATACTTTTTTATTGTATTAAATATAGACATTTGTAGAACAACCACAAAGGGAATTTCTCTGTGGCTCAATTGGACATCTCTACGTCTACAAATAGGAATGACACAAAGAGGGGAATTTATCAAAACTGAAGTAGACAAAATCTGGAGCAGCTGTGCATGGCAACCAATCAGCTTCTCTCTTTCAATTTCAAATCTTAACTGAACAAAGAAAGAAGCTGATTGGTTGCCATAGACAACTGCTCAAGTTTTAACAACACCCCCCCGTGTTTTTGTACATATTTTCTCTTTGCTTATTATGGCCATAATTATACATTTAATGCAGTCCACCTTAAGGCAGTGCAGCATTAGTTTACATCTTACCAGAGTGCAGATGGTTGTAGTTTTCCCTGTGCCGGGCATGCCAACAATAAGTGTATAGTCTTTTGAGAGTAGGACTCGTTTCATTGCTTGCTTTTGTGGCTTGTTAAGGCCTAGAATGGATAGTGTTTAAATGATCAATTGCCACTTAACTTGAGCACAAATATATAGTAGACAGTACATCCATACCTACCAAGAAACACTATACAGCTCTTACAAGCACAGTTTTCAATGCACAGTATGCAGTTGGTGAAACACACTAGATAGTTAAAGTCTCCATCTGTTAATTACTGAACTATCCAATGATGTCTTATGTCTGTCTTAGTGTGTGCATAAAAAGGAGGAAAGGCAGCAACCCATGGTGGTGAGAATATTGAAAACCCTAAAGTGAGTGGGAACACCCAGGAGCTATGTTCATGAGATCTAAAACCAGTCTCCAAATAGCCAAAAGGGCAGAGTTAGACCACTAGATTCCATCCATAACCAAATTAGGATACCCTCTTAAACAATAAATTTGGCCTTTGATATTAATTTAAAATGATGAAATATTGTCTTAATTGTATTTCAGTTGCCAATAATCTGGCTAGATGCTTTTAATTTGTCACAATGTATTTTCTACAGTAAACTGCACAATATGAATCCTTACCTTTTAAAATGTTGGCAACAGTGTCCTTGGCATCATGAGGCAGAACTGAGCTTAGATACTGAACAAAGTGAGGCTTTCCAAAGTCAATGATCAAATCTCGAAGTTTCTCACTGCAGAACCGGAGAACACATACATTAGTTTCACTTTTCTGGACATGTTTGAGGACTTAGAAGCAGCACGCAACGGGCATATTCTGCAGTTATTCAAAGCATTGCCCTCAGTACATACAGTTAAAGCGTACAGTTCATAAGATTCCACTTACAGTCTGAATAATATGGGTGCTTTTGTTCTACCAAGCCAAGTAATAGAAAAGTGAAACAGTTCCTTTTTAAAATTACCCATTATCGGGGAGAGAGGCTGACTTGGGTAACAAATTATGTGATAAAAATGAACATTTATTTATGAACGTGTATAATTGAACTGTGTGCAACCATTAAACAGTTCTGCAACCATTACATTAATGTTCATTTTTACACAATTGTTGTCCTATAAAAAAATAAATAGGATTGTAAGACTCGTCACTGCAGGTTCAGGGTTTGTAACGTTCCCACAGCATCTTCTCAGACATATTAGTAGGCAAAAGCACCAGACAAACTCCTAACCATGCTATTCTTGTAACAAATCTATCCCTAAAGCATCGCAGTTTGAGGGAAACTAAAAGGAACAGACCTTCCAGGAGAATTTTCCATAAGCTTTGATAAGTTTCCTAGATGGGATTCCAGACCACCCCCTCCTTCCTCGTGGTCAAGTCTAAAAATAGTACCTTGAGGAATCTTGGCTAGGCTCCTATAGGAGAAGATTTTGCAAAGTTTTAGGCGAGCCATCTTCTTTATTCATGGGCCTTCAGAAATTAACGATTGAACAATCTGTCATACAAACCTGTCCAAAATGCAGGTTATATTATTCTCATTAACCTCTCTGATAAAGCCGGTAGAGAGGGCAAGGAATTTTTTCTCTTCTCCACTTACTACAACTCTATCCCCAGACACCAGATTGGTAGCTGGAATGTTACCAGATTGGCGTTGGAAGGTATGAAGGTACTGCCCTTCTGCCAATGGCTGCACACTTTCTGTCCTAATAAGGTTCCCAATACACTGGCCATCATCTTCCATGAAAAAAACAAAAAAAAAAAAACAAACCCCAAATAATATAAATAGACAGGAAGAATGATTAACGCAAATAGACATCCATAACACTTTAAAATCATTCACATATACAATATAGATACAATAAAATACTAAGAAAACAAATCTGACAGTATAGCTACTAGTGCACTACAGAAAAGTTCCAGCATGTGACTTTCATTCAAGAGGAAGATTGGCCTCTCCTGCCTCGGTCAGGACCTATGTAAAGTCCCCAAGATTTATAGTGATATAAATATTGTTATATAGCCATTAATTGAATTCAATAAATTACACAAGTTTTTTTATATGAAAAACTACGCTGACATACAAATTAGAAATCTTGTTACCTCTCAGCTGCTGACAGCATCCAGATATTTTTGCGACCATTTTTTGATTCCTTTGAGTGGGCCTCCAAAGAGCACATGAGGTACCAGAGATTGAAGTACTGCAAGTGGGAGTCTTTCAGATGTCCAGTTTGACTGTCAATAACAGGGAGCATTTCATTGGGTATGTAGACAGATCCACTCTGTTGCTCTACGGACCTAAGAAAAGCAGCATTAAAAAAAAACTTAAATTCATTGAAGTTTACAACAGAAAAATACAGGCAGTCCCCAGGTTACGAAGAAGATAGGGACTGTAGGTTTGTTCTCAAGTTGAATTTGTATGCAAGTTAAAAAAAGGGACATTTTTTAAGTGTAACCCCTGCCAAAAACAGTTTTTGGCTAGCATAGGGAAGGGTTAGCCCACTGTAACGTTTGCTTTGCTGTATGTGCCCTGTTCAGAAGATTTCACCTCACTTTCTGTCCTTGTGACAATTGGATTTTGAACATTTTGGGTTGTCGTGGAAACGGATTGGTGATAAAGCTTCAGTGGAGACACGTTTTTCTCATGATATCCCTTACAGGAGTGAAGTTCCCTTCCTAGGGGTAGATTTGTTGTCTCAAGGACAGGAAGTGAGATTAAATATTTCTAATGAGGATACATACAGCAGTAAACACCTCACAGTGACCCGGAAGAAGAGGTGGGCACCCCTGGTCTGCACGTCTAACAAGAGTCAACTTCCTCTAATGTACGTACAGTATTACGAACCAGAACCAAAAATGCGGGCACTCGATCGGCACGAGCGCGGTAGCATTACAACTACTGAAATGCTGCACGGTACACTTTGGCTGCAGTCTGGGACCCCCTGCTGTACAGTAATAGTCTCCGTTTGTAAGTAGGGGTCTATGCAAGTAACTCGGGGACTGCCTGTAGTTGCTTTGGGCTGCACATTTAAGATGCTTGATACAGTGCTGATCTCACTTTAGTTTTAGGATACTACAAATGGCACCTTACTTACCATGTATTTTCAACACATCAGAAGGTATTCAATTATCACCAATTAAACAAAGTGCAGGTAAAAGCATAAAAAAAATTTTTTATTGACTTCCGAGGTATCTCTGAACCTGCCAGCAATTTTGACTACTTTAGGAAGTTCACCCCCCCCCCCCCCCCCCCCCCCCTTGCAAATCATAGCACTCTCCTCTTCTGGGTGTATCTAATTACTGTCTTTGCTGGTCCAGCTCCTCTACTCCTCCCGGATGTTTCTGTAGCACGGGCGAGGGTTTGGAGAGGAATACTATAGTATGAGTGATCGCTCCGAATCTGGTGGGGCTGCAGACATAACACCAAATATGGCAACCGCCAAGAGCAGTCTCAGGGCTTGGGGATGACTAGAACAGTAACAGGAAGTGATGAGCCTAATACTTTTAATGTATATTTAATCTTGAGGGAAGACTGTTGGTAAAATGATTGGTCTGGCAGCAGGGCGTCTTTAAACTCCCCCTTAATGAAAATTGCAAAAAGGTTAATCACCACTGAACATTTTAAAGGACATTTTCACTCCGACACCATTGATCTGGTTTCCAAAGTCGAGGGAAAGAAACAAAAGGAGTAGAAATGATGAGAGAACAAACCACTAATGTGTTATCCCTCAGACTGAGAAGAGTTTGCAGTCTCTAAAATCAGCACTTGGAACATTCAGTTCCATATTCATGTCTATAATACTTATCAATGTATCATATAAAAAGAAAAAAAAAACTTTAAAAAAAACAGTCACCTGCTGTAAAGGGCACAATTTCGAAGTTGTGAGCAAAATTTGCAGGCTTGCTTGTCAGCGATCATTGATGGCAATGTGGAGAGTCTGCTTTCTTTACTTCCATTATTGGATTTATGCACTAAATTTTCCAAATGAAATGACAACCCATTACGTATTTTAAGTAATTCTGGGGGAAAACAAAAATAAAATAAATAAAAAGGATTTTTTGGTACAAAACAAATACAGAGTTCAAGTTCTAATATATGTAACTGAGAAACAGGATTGTGTTCTTACTGTCAAAAAACTTTTTCTCGGAGTCCATTGAGGGACACAGCTCTGAAGAATTCTGAGAAGTAGGGTTCTGTTGGCTGCCGCCTTCAGGAGAAATGGACACTAGACAAGAAAATTAAAAGCCTGCCACTTTAGGGGCATAACCCCTCACACCTACCAGTTGTAGCAATCAGTATGAAAGGAAATGAGGGGAGGGAGTTGTCCCTCAAAACATTCAGAAAAGGATTTTATTGTAACAACAAAATCCTATTTTCTCTATTGTCCATTGAGGGACTTTCAAAAGCCGTGCAAAACAGAGGGACGGACTCCATAAAAACTAGAACCTGCTGAACTACTTTTCTGCCAAAACTAGCATCAGAAGAGGCAGAAATGTCAACTTTATAAAACTTAGCAAAAGTGTTAACAGAAGACCAAATTGCGGCCTTGCAATTATCAGAAGTAACAGAAGCTTGATTCTGAAATGACCAAGAAGTACTAACTGTCCTAGAAGAATGAGCATAAACAGGAAAAGGAGGAACCTTATACTGCAAATCATAACTGAGCTGAACAAGCTTTCTAGGACCTTCAAAGAGAACAAATAAAAAATCTGGATGCCTTAGAAGGCAGCTGTGACTAGAAGATGAACTCTTAACAGCCCGCACAACATCCAAACATTGAAGAGAAATTTCCTTGAACAGGAGCTGGACAAAGTGCAGGTCAAACAAATAATTTAATGAAAAGGCCAAAACCACCTTGGGATAAAAAAGGAAACCTGTGGTCTCAAAACTAGGGCTGCAACAACTAAAATCGACATAATCGATGATTGAAAAAGTTGTCAACTTTTTCAATCATCGATTAATCGGCCTCTGATTAGTTGGCCCAGTTGACGGCTCCAAACAAGCTGCGTGCTGCACCTCCTGCCCTCCTAACGCTCGCCGCTGCTAGACCCGCCCACCCGCACTCCACACCTCCTCCCGCTCACCCACATCAGGGATGCGGGGAGAAGAAGTAAGGAGGAGCAGTTGTGGGGGGGATGACAGTCGCCGATAGGCCTGATCTCAGAAGCAAGTTGCTGGAAGACTGCTCAGGTAAGCCTGCACTTTCCCACAAATGGTGCTCTATAATGTATTGCTGGGATTTGTAGTCCTATATAACTGATGGTATAATATACAGCACAATGTACCATCAGTTATATACGGGATTTGTTGTATTCCTATATAGCTGGTGGTATTCTGCATTGCGCTGTATAGCGGACTACAAATCCCAGCAATACATTATACAGCGCAATACCACCAGCTTAAGAGGAGTACAACAAATCCCAGCAATAATACATTATACAGTGGTGCAATGCAGAATACCACCAGCTATAGAGGACTACAAAACCCAGCAATAGTACATAATATAGCGCAATGCAGAATACCGCCAGCTATAATGTACTATTGCTGGGATTTGTTGTATTCCTCTATAGCTGCTGGTATTCTGCATTGTGCTGTATAATGTATTGCTAGGTTTTGTAGTCCTCTATAGCCGGTGCCATTCTGCATTCATTGCTGTATAATTTTACACCTTTTCATTTCACTATATTGCACACCACACTTTTTCTTTTTTACTTCCACCGCTCCAAGCTTTCCCCTGTGATGGACTGCAATCTCAATACAAACTAGTAGTCCCATCACTGGAGCCCTTTTTTAAAATTTTATTTTATATCCGATTAATCGAACTTAATAATAGGCTAACTAATCGATTTTGAAAATAATCGTTAGCTGCAGCTCTACTCAAAACAACCTTGTCCTTTTGAAGAACCAAATAGGGTTCTGTACAAAAAGCAGACAACTCAAACCCTTCTAGCTGTAGAAATGGACACAAGAAAGGCAACCTTCTTGACTAACAAAGATAAAGAAAGTACTTGGATAGAGTCAAAAGGAAGTTTTTGTAGAACAGATAAAACCAAGTTCAAATCCCACGAAGAAAGAGGAGACCTAACAGGAGGAGCCACACGTGGAACTCCCTGAATAGAAGTACAAATCAAGGAAGAGGATGCTGGAAAAAGGACAGAAAGTAGATATCTGACCGTTTTTGGTACTTAGAACTAAGAACTAAATTAACTTAGAACTAAATGCTGGGTAACCCCAAGTTGAAGGAAAGACCAAACTCGCAATATAGAAAACCCCAATGAAAATAAATCTTCCACGTATGATAATAAATCTTATGAATAGAAGAAGAAATTCCTAAAACCAGTGACCATGAAGCAGGATGGATGATTAAGCCCCGAGATAACAGATAGTCTGCCAACAGATGAAACATACCACACCCGGTGGAGGCCAATATGGAGCGACGAGAATGAGTGTGTTCTATCCTGTGAAGCAGGCGAGGCAAAATATCAGTGGAGGAAAGGCATACATTAGCACTGATCCCACAGAACTACTAAGGCATTCACTGCATCCGCCGTTGGATCCCTCGCTTTGGACAGAAATCTCCCCATCTTCTTGTTGTGATGAGAAACATAATGATTTGCATTCACAATTTCAAGGCCCTGTTTCTGACATAACGGATATCCCCATGGAATACTGGCCTGACCGTTAAAAGATGAAAACAGAAACACAGGACCACCGCAGGATGAAGAGTAAACTTCATAAACTGCTTCATGACAACTAGAGAAGCTTCCAGGATTTAACTCATCTGCCATGAATCTCTGTTTTGTTAGCTAGCTAGAGTGACTTCCAGGATTTAATATTTAATAATATCCAGTATAAATGAACTAGCAGCTCCTGGCAGTAGAACCTTCAACAAAGAAACAAAAATAAGCTAAAATGATAAACATGAAGAAAAGGAGACATCCATTCTCCTGATGACACGTAACGAAACTGGCAGTTGTGAGGGGTCATGTCCTTAAAGTGACAGGCTTAATTTTTTTTGCCTTTGCTGGAGGCAGCAGCATAACCCTACCTATCAGAATTCTTTAGAGCTGTGTGCCTCAATGGATGATAGAAACATTTGCAAACTAAAAAGGTTAGCTAAACTGACCTTACATGAGTGAAAAAAAACAAACAAAAACAACAAACACTTGATGGATGGAGACATTTCTCCTGCTGGCAACAAATAGAAAAAAAAAAGTGTGCAATGTACAACATAAAGCTATAGACATCACAAATCATTTGTACAAGTAGCTCTCTGGCCAGTGTCTTTTAGAACTACATTACAAAGTAGAAAAGGCTAATGTCCAGACTATGCAAAGAATACAAGCATGTGTAAACCCTAACTATGAACTTCTCTTAATGGCTCTCTTTTGGTAAAAATACAACTAAAAACCATGTGTTATATATATTCAAGAAGTGATGATCCTGCCAGAAGTCCAAGGAGCAGATAACTTCCTGTAGTGAACTGACAAAGCTGCACTGAAATCGCAAACATTGTTATTAGTCCAGCATATGTTCTCTGTGAACTGCAGAACACAGCAGAGGTGTTCTGTGGTTTTAGATTATTATTAAAGGATTTATATAGTGACAACAGTTAGCGTAGAGCTTTACAATATAAGAAGACACTACAGTTACAATCAGTCAAGACGGTAAGGAGGGCCCTGCCAGTTAGAGCTTCCAATCTAAAATGGAGCAGCAAGTGATACAAAAGGTGGGCTATGTGGGGATGAAATGCAACATCCTGACCTAGGGGGATAACACTACTGTTCGATACAGTACAATGAGTGAGCTTTGTCATGCGAAGACAGGAAGTGCGTTGCTGGCAGGATGCATGTCATTAGAAAGCCAACTTGTTTGAAGCATCGATAGATTAACAAGAAATCACAGATTCTTAGAGTGGGTTTGCAGAAGGGCACTGCACATACATCCCAGGGTTCCATCACATACCTCTTTTGTCTAGATGATTTGCAGGTACTGTGTACATGGTTCCAGTCTTTAAATATAAGAGTAGACCAGACTCCGGATCCTCTCTCCTTTCCTGACTTAGCAAAGTATACAGAATAACCTGAGGCACAAATGGAGACAAACTAAATGAATGACAGAATCAATACTGCTTAATTGACAATCACGCACAGAATGTGCCAGTCAGTTCAGCCAATTTTTAAATCCTTGGTTGTATGTATCAAGAAGTGTAGCAAAAGTGAAAAATGTGAAAGGGGTTGGGCCAGCCTATAATACTGACAGGGGTGCTAGAACATATACTTGAACATGTGTGATATAAAAATAAATCAAAAACACAAAAATGACGACTACAAGTTTATAAATTCATATGGTTTTGCAAGTTGATGTGAATGTCAGCTTAGCTCACAACTCTGGTTATACATATTAGTTTCCCTGGTTCATTCCCATGTGACAAGCAGATAAACTTGTAGTTGCTTCATTGGACTTTGATGGTTTCTCAGATATAAAGAGACACATTGACACATGATGTAAACAAGGGATGCGCTGATAATTTACAGTGAACCAGTCAGCCAATTTACAGTGAACCAGTCAGCCATTTTAAACATTATAAGTTGACTTATATTAAAATATCTTGAAGTCCATTTCCACATTTGTTAAAGTGACATTGAACCCTCAGATTTTTTAACATAAAACAATACTGTAATGCGTGCCTTACTGTAATCCATGGGTGTTTCATTTCTCTTTGCTGCTCTTCCTTTTAAATCCGTATCTCTTCTCATGCTCTGCAGAACTTCTGTTTTGCAGCAGACTGCCTTGTCTCAGGAATGGATACACGGTGTCTGTGTATCCGTTTGTATAGGCTTGTAATCTGAGCCAGCACTACAGGAAGAGGCCCTGAGCTGAAAAGGGAAGTTCTGCCCAGCATGAGAAGACATGAGGATTTAAAAGGAAGAGCAGCAAAGAGAAGGGAAACTACCATGGATTACTGTAAGGCGCACATCACAGTATTGGATTATGTTAAAAAATCTGAGGGTTTAATGTCACTTTAAGTGATTATCATTTATTATAGAAGCCACTATGAATACTAATGAATGGGGGGGAGGTCAGAGTGCTCAGTTGTAATATACACACTGTTTGCAGAACACAGGGGCAGCTCTTTCCATGAGCATATGAAGAGGAAAGCGAAACAATAAAAACAAAACAAAAAACAACCCTGCACACATTTCTGTGTTCATATACAGCAACTGCATATGCCTGCTTCATGTACACTCTGTGTACATTGAATAATGTGAAACCTTGCGCCACTACTCTAATCAAGTTAAGCAGCAGCTGAAATCTGTGGGGTCAGATATATCGGATGAAATTAGTGGTAAAAGCCGCGCTGTAAGAATGAAACGGCAAAAGTGTCAGATATAGTAGATATTGACCGTGAAGTAATGTGATACAATGTGTAAAAAAATGAAGAAACGCATGTATATAACATGCACCTTGGTGTAAATGTAATTGCTACAAAATATCCATAATAGAAAAATCAAGTGCACTAAATATTAACTGTGAATCAATGTGATACAATGTGCAAAGAAAAACAACTAGAAAAACGCATGTGTATAACATGCACTACAGTGAAAATTAAAATGGTTAAAAAATGTCCATGATCCTGGATCTTCAATAGTCCATTAAGTAAATAGAAGATAAAACATTGGATGTAGAATAAACTTAGTCTCCTGTGACCATCAACAGAGAAATCTTCTGGAATGCACCTCACCTTTAGCAGAGACCCACCAGGGTCTGTATGCGCTGTTCCTCTAATTCAAAACAGGTAGAGGAAGCACCTGATGCCGAATACCTCCCAGTGATTTCCTCCTCTCAGGTACAGACTCTCTTGCAGTCTTAGGAATTGGAAGCAGACAATTCATCCGAATGGCCCATGCATCAAATAAAAAAATGGAGGGGTCATGATGAAGTCACGCCCTTTGACGTAACGTACGTAGGGTGGAGTAGAGGTATTGCACACAGTGTCTGTGGCTGCTTACCAAATACCTTACTTTTATCTATGATATGCGAGTAGTATCCTTTTTTAATAAAGTTTATTATCCTTTTAAAACCATCTGCACTGCGAATCTCGATTTTCTATTTGATGCATGGGCCATTCGGATGAATTGTCTGCTTCCAATTCCTGAGACTGCAAGAGAGTCTGTACCCGAGAGGAGGAAATCACTGGGAGGTGTCCGGCATCAGGTGCTTCCTCTACCTGGTTTATATCAGAGTAACAACGCATACAGACCCTGGTGGGTCTCTGCTAAAGGTGAGGTGCATTCCAGAAGATTTCTCTGTTGATGGTCACAGAAGACTGAGTCTATTCTACATCCAATGTTTTATCTTCTATTTACTTAATGGACTATTGAAGATCCAGGATCATGGACATTTTTTAAACATTTTAATTTTCACTATAATGCATGTTATACACATGCGTTTTTGTAGTTGTTTTTCTTTGCACATTGTATAACATTGATTCACAGTTAATATTTAGTGCACTTGATTTTTCTATTATGGATATTTTGTAGCAATTACATTTACACCAAGGTGCATGTTATATACATACGTTTCTTTATTTTTTACACATTGTATCACATTACTTCAAGGTCAATATCTACTATATCTGACACTTTTGCGGTTTCATTCTTACAGCGCGGCTTTTACCACTAATTTCATACTCTGTGTACATTGCTGGCATGTTTTAAAAAAAAACCTCTGCCAAGGTGGAAATGGGCTTTAAGTTTGTCTGTTTGACAGGGACCATTTAATGTGACAGAGCAAATAAGTAAAAGATGTACTTTTAGCATACAGTAAAAATTAGAAGTAGCAGCCACACAGAAGCATAACAATAATTGGCACCTACCCAATCCAATGCCCGGACTACATTGATGATGCCATCAGGGGCGGGGTCATGAACAGGAAGAGCTATTTAACAGAAACACTGAGAACTGGATGCATTAGTGGGCCTTTGAATAACAGACTCTGCAGAATGCCTACTGCAGGTGCTACATCATTCACAAGTGACTTGTCTGACACTCCTTTAACCTCCCTGGAGGTCTGATTATCTCAGTATTTTTTCCCCTATTTTTGACTTTTGAATTTCCCGCCAGTTCCACCCCCCTGCGTCGCGGACGCTTGCAACGGAAGGAACCTGGAAGACGGCATCGGCCGGACACAGCGGGGCTCGTAGGGACAAGGTAACTGACACTACAGTGTAATCCCGAGTGTGGCTCGGGGTTACCGCTTTTGGTACTGAAAATAACCCCGAGCCACACTCGGGATTACCGCCAGGAAGGTTAAAGGATAAAGGTTGCCCAAATCTGCTATATAAAATTTAAGATGGAAGCTGTACTTCATTTCCCTCTCAAAACTAGTTTCACTTTGTTGCGGAGGACTGATTTCCTCGATATCTGGGCTAAGCCCAACAAACTGACATTTCCATGGCCAATGAGTGGTCTTATCGGCCACAGAATGCATTTAGCCAGGATGATGGCAGTTGTGCTGCCACATCCGTTGTAATTTGTATTATTTCTGTTTCAGTTAGACTGCATAACTATATTACTGCACGTCATTGTGTTATGCTGTATTTCTAGATTCAAGTGTAAGATTAGCATTGTTACAGCCTAATCTGTGCATACTTGGCATTTTCCACTTCACCCCTGCTGTTTTCTGTACATTGGTAGAGTCTTCTGCTAAACGTTCCCAGTAATCCCTTTGTACTGTCTCTTTCTGCATCATCCCTCACTGAGGTAAGGGGGTCTCTGTTATCCAGTTAATGGCAAAGATATGCATGTCTTTTCACTCTATAGCTGTCCATACACCTATAGATTTACATCTGCAGATATTCTATGGTCAGATGAAAAAGTGCAACAGATTCTTCCATCTACGCTAAACTGTGTGGATGGAGGAATCTCCCACTGGGCCTGCATTGGCTCTCAAAATACCTGAACAATGCCTACATCCAATCAGATTGTTCAGGGATTTTGACAACCAGCGGGGCCGACTAGCAAGATACTGAAGTTTGGCCCAGTGGGAGATTCCTCCATCCACACAGTTTAGTGTACATGAAGGAATCTGTTGAACTTTTTCCATCTGACCATAGAAAATCTATAGGTGTATGGCCAGCCTAAGAATCACAAGGAATCTCATCCTCTGCATTGAGAAGGCAAATAAACTGCATTGGATTCTACTCTGAGTCTTCCCTTTGCGTTGAACACTATCTGTGAATATCACCGAGTAGGTCGTCATACTGCCCGTACAGACGGGTCTTAGGAAAGTATGTGCAAATACATAAAAGCGGTGGTGGTAACAGAATAGAATTCACCTTAAAAAGGGGTAACTACAAAAAAAAAATATGATCAAATCATTTTATAATTTCCCACTACATCTGGTAGAAATGAAAACTTAACTACTCACCTGACTTCTGTGCTCTATGGAATTAGACTCCTTGCCAGTTTTTAGCTCCAGAGGCATGGTTTTCAATTGGCTTTTGGTTTTCTGGTGTATTTTTACAGTGGCGGTTACATCAATTTTTCCTTTCAAACCAAATCTTGGTGACCAAATATTTTCTTCAATGTCCAAAAACTCAGACACTTGAACTGCACTTCCACCAGCTGATCTAGAATGAAACCAACACATTACATGGATATAGAATGAAAAAGAAAAATAAGAAAAAAGATAAAACTGCAAATGCATTAGCATAATAAAAGCTATTACAAAAAGTAAAAGATTTTGCTACAATATGACCCCTTGGAAATAAGTTGTGCTGGAATGGATATATTGCAGCACATATCATCTAAGTTAATAATTCTAGGGTGAGGGGTTTACCATGGACACATGTTTTTGTTTTTTTCTAGATGACACAGAAATACAGAAGCCTCAGACAGTCAAGCAACTAGCATTTCCCGACAACAGCTAGCAATCGCAGCCTACATATTTTAACATTTAACATCAATTTAAAAAGGTTGGTGAAATTGGTGCTCGTGTCAACACACTCCACAATTTTCCTTACCGCTCATGCAATTTTATATAAAAAAAAATTTAAATAAAAACCAGACAGATGTCGTGACGCTGAAGTTGATGACAATAAAGGGTAATGCAAAATCTGAGAAAACTGGCATAACCTGGTTTTAAAACAGATTTCACTAGGCTATCTACACTGAAACAAAATCCAGTAAATAACCCCCTAAAAGGCTTCATAAACAGAAAATATAGTTCAAATAATATAATAAAAACCCTTTTGGTTTGGGCCTTTCTTGCTTTGATGGTAAGCAAGGTGCCCTGACCGGGACTGATAGGAACACAGCTGTAAGTAGCAGACAATGTGGATGGTGACTAACATTAACAGTACAGGCAGTCCCCGGGTTACGAACAAGATAGGGTGTGTAGGTTTGTTCTGAAGTTGAATTTGTTTGGAAGTTGGAACAGGTACATTTTTTAAGTGCAACTCCAGCCAAAATGTCTTTGTTTTGGATAGTATAGGGAAGGGTTAACCCCCTGTAATGTTTGTTTTGCTGTGTGTGCTCCTGTTGAGAAGATTTCACCTCACTTTCTGTCCCTGTGACAATTGGATTTTGAAAATTTTGGGTTGTTGTGGAAACAAGGATTGGTGATGAATCTTGCTAAGCCAGAGCCCTCAGCACAATCTGCCTCACTTATCAAATACCCTAACACAAGAAGTACTAAACATTTATAGCCCCATAGGAGCCACCTAAAATGACACCTGCACTGGAAAATAACAACTGAAACAAAATTGGAGTCTGATTGCTTGTAGACAGACAACAGAGACTGCTCTTATGAAAGACAAACATCATCCCACTTATAAAAGGCTAATTCCACTTTATTTTTGCAAAAACGTATACCTTTCACCCACATGGTGTAAGTGCATTTATTAACCCCTTCGTGACTGGAGACATACACTGTACGTCCCGCCACAAAGGGACCAAATGACCCGTGACGCGTTATTTGCTGCACTAGAAGGCTGGTAACCGCTGAGAATCACATTCAGAATTACCATTCAGTAATGGATGTGTAACTATCTAGGCATCCATTAATGAAAGGGTTAACCTTTTTCAGACACCCGATACCTTAATATGGGTGTCTGAGAGTAACAGCAGAGCGGACACACATGCCAAGCAGGCATTCTGACAGCTCGTATAGATCGAGAGATATCTCTCTCAAGCTATACTGGCTTTTTTTTTTTTTATCTTTGACTTTCAGGAATAGACACATAATGTATCTATTCCTGAAAGAAGAATGTTTCATTTTACTGATCGTTGTTGCAACAATCAGAAAACCTTTAGTGACAGCTGAATCCTGAACTGCTGCAGGATCAGTGTCACTAACTTATCGGCTGTTCTGAAGTTTAAAGCAGCCTGATAACCAAAAATGTATTAATTTATCAAGCAGTAATAGTGAGTTTAATTCACAATGACTGCTTGATATAATTAAATAAAATAAAATGTTTAAGTTTAAAAAAAAGTGAAAAGTGTTAAAAAAATATAAAAAATAAAAGGGACAAATAAATTAATGTATTTATTGCATTTGTTTTTTTTTTTAGCTGTGCTGGTTTTGTTAAAAAAATACTACAAATCAAAACTGGGAAAAAAGTGTTTTACGTTTTTTCCTCTTTTTTTATATTTTATTTGTCCTAATTGAGGCGTTAGACACACATATGTGATATAAATATATAGCTCTATCTGTCCTCTAAAAAACAATATATGTGTGGGTGCACTTTGTAAGAAAGTATATTACTGATGTGGAAGAATCACACAGCAAAAATGTCAGAAGTGTGTCAGTCATTTACGAACAGAAACCAAAAACAAGCTCAGTCATGAAGGGGTTAATTCAGTGGATATCGGGTACATTGCCCAGACTGTTCTACCAGTGCATTGACATCACTGAATGTTGCCATTGAGATAAAAAAGTTCTTCTGCTGCAGTGGCAGATGGAATGTGTAGTCTTTTCATTCACAGATCCTATGAAGGGATATGTGAATGACTGACACAGGCGGAGCCATAAACAGCCACACCAAATTGAACTATAGAAAGGATGTTG